TGCTTGGTAAAAGAAGTCATTCTCCTTATCTCTAGCAGGAGAAACTTATGGCCCTTCCACTGATGTGAGAGGGCTCCTAGTGGAGTTACTGAACCTTAGAGAACAATAGGCATTTAGACACTTACTTAGCCTATGGCTTTTGTTTTAGGAAAAATGCTATGATAAAGCTGATGGCCACTTTCATCCCTGAATCATTGAGTCTGCTTTCAACCTTGCCTGTGGATAAACTATTGTTCAATTGTAAGAATAAAAGGTGTAGCCTTTCTTCAGTAAAGTGGTAGCCATCCCAATTCACTCTCAGATTATATTAGTCTTTTCCTTCCCCCTTGCCAACTCCACACCTCCTCTTTGGGACCTGAACCCCGCCACAGCTAGACTCCAGCATTACTCCATTGACATATTTCTTCCAGTTACCACATTTTAAATATATGCATTTGTCCCTGTTATTCCTTTTGAGGAGGGGACTAAGAGTGGAACCACTGAGTCTCCATTCTCAAAGAATGTTTGTTGAATTCAGATCCAAGCCTTTTACCTTCTGTTTCTCATTGTTTGCTCATCTTGTCCAAACTTCTTTTAAAGCTTAATCCTAAATGGTCAATCAATAACCATTCTTGGGGGGCTGGAGAGACGGCTCAGTGGTTAAGAGCATTGGCTGCTCTTCCAGAGGTCCTGAGTTCAATTCCCAATAACCACATGGTGGCTCACAACCATCTATAGTGAGATCTGGTGCGCTCTTCTGGCAAGCAGGCAGACATGCAGGCAGACCACTGTATACATAATCAATATATAAATCTTAAAATAAACCCATTCTTTATAACAAGCCTTATGCTTATTAGTGTTTTTAGTGATAAATGAATAATTAGTGTGTGTATTTTCAACATTTAGGATATACTAGCCATTGTTGATGCAAAAACCATATCCCTCATTATCTTAGTCAGTGTTTTATTGCTGTGAAGAGACACCATGGCAATGGCAACTCTTATAAAGGAAAGCATTGAACTGGGGTTCACTTACTGTTTCAGAGGTTTAGTTCGTTATCATCATGACAGGGAGCATGGCAGCGTGTAGACAGACATGGTGCCAAAGAAGTAGCTGTGAGTTCTACATCTGGATCTGAATCCACAGGCAGAAGGAAGAGAAAACCACTGGGCCTGGGCTTAGGTTTTGAAAACTCAAAACCCACCCCCAGTAACACAGTTCCTCCAACAAGGCCACATCTACTCCAACAGGGACACACCTCCTAGTCCTTCTCAAGTAGTGCCACTCCCTGATGACTAAGCATTCAAATGTATGAGCCTATGAGGTCCATTCTTATTCAGACCACCACACTCATCTTAAAGGGAATAGTTTATTCTTGAATCACTTTGAGTGACTGTGGCCTGGGGAACACAAACTAGGTTACCCCAAATTCCATGTTCCAATGTGGAAGCAGTTGCATAGTTTTACAGAACAAAAGAAGTCATAAATCGAAACAAGCTTAAAATACATTGGTGGGTGCATCAGAAAAGCAGTAAAAATGATATGGGGAAGTTTTCTATAGGCCCAAGAAAATATCTGATGACATTCAAGTTTTGGGTTGGTGGAAGCTGCTACTACTACTACTACAACTAACACACACACACACACACACACACACACACACACACACACGCATGCACTCATGCACACGTGCACACACCCAAACACATACATTTGAGAGGCCACAGTAGCACCATGGTGGACTTCTCCCAGCCCCAGCCTCTACTAGGCCTGAGTTTCAGTTGTTTCAGTTGGTTTCTGTTTCAGTTTCGGTTTCTGATAAGGCAGGTGAAGGAGATATTGCATACCAGGCATGAGTCAGCACTTACAGCCCCAGCCAATCAGAAACATATTAGTGCGGCTGCTGCTTGCTTGGCCAGTCATGTTTAGGATGACCTAATCCCATCATGGCTGTCTACAAAAGGAGCCTTTGAGCTTCTCTGGGGGTCGTTGCATGCAGGAATTCTCTCGTGCTCTTGCTTTGCATATGTGAGTGGTGGTCTATTGTGGGGTGATCTGCGGACCCTAATATCTGGGGGCTTGTCCGGGATAGTCTCCCCCAACCTGAGACCCCTGACACATTGAGTGTTTAAGGAACCCAGCCAGTAAGTAAGGGCTCTCTGCCTTTGTTCATCTCTGTTATATGTGACTTATAAGGCTCAAGTAGTAGGCTTGGGTGAGCCAGGCAGACATGTTAGTGGCACCTGTGCTAGGTGGGTTGAGAGAAGTCTCAGACCTACCAGAGGGGGACAATGTCCCATTGGAAGTTGAGGTGGGACAGAGAAGGTCACTCCTGCCAGACAGAGCTCACTCATAGCAAGAGAGGCCGTCGACCCCTTTGAGCCTTTTGCTGAACCATTATAAGGACTTCCAGACACAGGCCACCAACCTGGGACTTGTTGAGTGGAAAGAAAAACTCTCTATCTTTTGCAGGAACAAATGGCCGAACAAATGTAGGATGGCCTGAGGAAGTGACATTCAATCTTCCCACTATCTACTGTGTGAAGGACATAATCTCTAGGTCATTGAGGTGCCTGGATCAGGTTCCTCATATCACTACCTGGCAAATGTTGTTAGAGAAGCCTCCTAAATAACTAAAACCTTTTCTGGTGCCACCCCAGGTGATAGTTGCAGTAGCCACAGAAAAGAAACTGAAACCAGACAGGGAATCCCAACCCTCGGCCCTTCTTTACCCTGTCTTACCCACCTCAGGAGGACATCTGGAGGAGGACATTTTCTCAACACCACCCCCCTATCAACCTGAGGTGTGTGAGGAGGAGGCCGAGGGAGCCCCAGGAGGGATCAGGAGCCCTCCTCACATGCACACCCATTCCTGGATGGAGGAGCTGCTGGTGGAGGACAATTCAACAGTACTTCCATGTGGATGGCAGGGAGCTTGCTACAACAATGGCTCCAGGAAATTCCCCAAGTCTGGCCGAATACTGGCCCCCTGTGGTAATACAACTGGAGGCCAATGCTATGCCAGTCCACATCAGACAATAACCGATGCCCAGAGACATCAAGCAGGGGATTGCCTCCCACATCAGATGCTTGAGGGACCTGGACATCCTTGTCCCCCACCAGTCTGCCTGGAATACACCCCCTGCTGCCACTCAAAAAAGCCCAACTCCACTGATAATAGGCCTGTCCAGGACCTCAGAGAAGTAAACAAGTATGTAGAGGACATTTATCCCACTGTCCCCAACCCATATACCCTTCTCAGCACCCTGCCACCTGAATGGGTCATCTATACAGTGCTAGACCTCAAGGATGCCTTCTTCAGCTTGCCCTTGGAGTCAGCCAGTCAGCACCTGTTTGCCTTTGAATGGTTGGATCCAGACAACGGGTTCAAAGGACAACTGACCTGGACAAGCTTTCCGCAAGGATTCAAGAATTCTCCCATGATTTTCAATGCAGTCCTCTGTGAGGATTTGGGTGAGTACAGACAGGCCCACCCGAATGTCGGTCTGTTACAGTATGTGGATGGTTTGCTGACTGCCGCAGACTCTCTAGAGGCCTGTGAGACTGCTACTGAGGGATTGCTTAAAACTCTGGGGACTCCAGGGTACAGTGTCTGCGAGGAAAGCTCAACTCTGCCAGACTGACTTAACCTACCTGGGATACATACTCAAGGAGGGGTGGAAGATGGCCGTCAAAGGCAAGAAAAGAGACCATTCTAAGAATCCCCCAGCCCACCAACCATCAGGAGGTGAGAATGTTCTTGAGGTCAGCTGGATTCTGTAGGCTTTGGATACTTGGGTTTGCTGAATTGGCTAGACCATTATATAAAGCAACCCAGTGGGGAGGGACTCTCCTAGAATGGACTGAGCAAATGGTAGGGGCCTTTGACAAAATCAAAACAGTCTTGCTAGAGGCCCTGGCGTTGGCCTTGCCAGATGTCACAAAGCTATTTCACCTATATGTGGATGAAAAGAAAGGGGTAGCCACAGAAGTCACAACCCAAACTGTTGGACCCTGGAAGAGGTCAGTGACCTATTTGTCAAAGAAGCTAAATCTGGTGGCAATGGGATGGCCTCCATGCCTCTGCATAATAGCGGCCACAGCTTGGTGGTCAAGGACTCAGACAAACTGACTCTTGGCCAGGCCCTCATAGTGACCACCACATGCTATGGAAGGGGCCCTCAAATGTCCACCTGATAGACGGCTGATCAACGCCAGGCTGGCTCACTATCAGGCTTTGCTCTTAAATCCCCCTTGAGTCTAAGTTACCTCCAGTATTACTCTCAACCCAGCCACTCTGCTCCCAGACCTGGACCTGGGTGGCCCTGTGCATGACTGCCAGGAATCTTGAGCCACCTACAGGGAACAAGACTTGACCTTGATGACTCACTCTTAAAGGAGGCCAATGTCACCTGGTACACAGATGGCAGGAGCTTCATCAAGGATGGCACCAGGTATGCGGGGGGGTGGGGGGTGGCAGTGACCACAGAAGAGGCAATCATCTGGGCAGAAGCCCTGCCCCCAGGTACCTCGGCCCAACGGGGCTGAACTAATAGGCCTAAGGAAGGCCTTACAGATGGGGCGAGGGAAGAGACTCAGTATACATATAGTTGATATGCCTTTGCCACTGTGCACATCCATGGTGCCATCTACAAGGAAAGGGGTCTCCTGACAGCAGAAGGAAGGACTATCAAGAACAGGCAGGAGATCCTGACTCTTCTGCAAGCCATTTGGTTGCCCTGAAAAGTGGCTGTCATGCACTACCCAGGACATCCAAAAGGAGAGAACCTGGTTTCTAAAGGGAACACGAGGGCAGCTGCAGCTGCAGGAGAAGTGGCCCTTCAGGTGGCAGCTGCCCTGATAGTCAACCTGCCTAAACTAGCAGCCCCAACCTTGCCCCAAAATACTGCCCATACCAAGAAGGAACTTTGGAGGATTCAAACTTGCACCAATGCCTACAAAAAGGACAGATGGTATAGGACTCCTGATGGGTGGATAATCCTCCCCCCCCCCCCCCCCCCCCCCCCCCGTCACACTTTGCCAGCCAATTAGTCTGGCAGATACATCGAAGTACCCACTTGGGGAAGAGGAAAATACAAGACCTGCTTAGAAGGAGCACACCTCAAGGTGTTTGACTTGAGACCAAAAATGGAGGAAGCCATAGCCTCCTGCCCAACATGTCACCTGGTGAAAGTTAAATCAGGCACAGGAGCATCAATGGGGAGCAGAGGAATGTAGCCTGGAGCCAATTGGGAAACTGACTTCACTGAGGTAAAGCCCAGGCTCTGTGGCTACAGGTACCTATTGGTCTTTATAGATACCTTTTCAGGATAGATTGCAGCTTACCCTACCAAGAATGAGACAGCCATTGTTGTGGCCAAGAAATTTCTAGAAGATATCATCCCAGGTATGGACTTCCTGTCTTATTAGGCTCAGACAATGGACCTGCCTTTATCTCTCAGGCAACCCAAAAGATAGTTAAGGTCATGTAGACAAACTGGAAGCTTCATTGTATCTATGGCCTCCAGAGTTCAGGTAAAGTAGAAAGAATAAATCGGATCCTAAAGGAGACCTTAACTAAATTAACCCGAGACTGGCGGTAACTGGGTATCTCTCCTTCCCTTCACTCTTTTTTGGATTTGCAATTCTCCTTACACCCTGAACTTAACCCCATTCGAGATAATGTATGCCAGACCCCCACTCTTATTACCAACCTTAAGGCAGAATTGTTAGCTGAATTTGATGACCAAAGATTTCTTTCATCCCTACAAGTTTTGTTCCAGGTGCAGAAGCAGCTTTGGCTCCTGTGGCAGCATTAGGCTACACCTGGCCTGGCTCCAGAGACTAGCACCTAGCCCTAATCCCTTTGTTTAGCAGATACCCTTTGTTTCTCTTGTCACCCTTGTGTTACTCTTGACACCCTGTGAACCTTGTCTGAGAGTTTCCCAAGGATGCAAAGGCCTATGCAAAACTTGCTTAGGTAAACTTGGAAAATTGTGGTACCTGATGAATCAAGAAATTTGCACATGGCATTGCATTTTCAGGAGCTTTTTTCAGATTGTTTTGAACATATGGAAATCAACTGGCTAAAGTATAAATATGGAGAAAAATAAAAATGCTCTGGGTGAAGGGAAAGGCCTTCAGTCCTTAGAGGGTGGATTCCCCTGCAGCCCTGAAAGACTAGATTTGTTTTTAAGGCGCCTCTGAGTCTTCATTTAGTGGACCCGTATGAACCCAGACACCCAAGCCCCAACAGGCTTGAAATATGTGCTATCAATGAGAAGGCACCTCTGCCTGCTCTTCACAGGTTCCAGCTGGGGGGACTTGGTCATCATCAAAAGACACCTGAAGGAAACCTTGGAGCCTGGCTGGAAGAGACCCTACACTGTCATCCTGGCATTGCCCATGGCTGGATACACCACTCCCACGTAAAAGCCGACCCTGAGGACTATGCCCTGGAGGCCCACCCTCGACTGTGGAGGACCGTGACACATCCACAGGACCCTCTCAGATTAAGAATCCAGAAAGTCATTGAACCAGCTAAGTGATGGGCTCACTCCTATGCTTTTTCAGTTTCCTTGGTTTATGTCTGCTGGGGTTTTCCAATCAGACCCCTACAGGGTGCCCAAACCCCTATCAGCCCTTTAACCTTACCTGGAAGGTCATTGGCACATTGGGGAGGTCTTAAATCAAACCTTCCATTCTACCCACTTAGGGACTTGGTTTCCTGATCTATATATACTTTGACTTGGGGGCCCTCTTAGCAACTTATTATTCTGATTCACAGCTGTGACAACATTTCCACCATTCCTATGTTTGTTCTGGACATGATCTGACTAAGACTCAAAAGAGGACCTGTGGTGGTGGTGGGGGACATGGGGGAGGGGAACACGGGGTAGGAGGGGATGGGAAGATACACTATTTCTGTGCCTCATGGAGTTGCGTGTAGCCAGAAGGTTTCTCTGGCACTGCCTGGCCCTGTGGTAGGACGAATCTTTCCCTCCTGCAGTTCTTGTTCCCAAGTAAACACATAGAGGCTTATATTATTCACAAACTATATGACCTATAGGTCAGGCTTCTTGCTAACTAGCTCTTATATATTAAATCAATCTATTTCTATTAATCTATGCATTGCCACATGGCTTTGTGGCTTACCAGTACTTTTACATCTTGCTTCTCCTGGTGGTGGCTCCCAGACTCCACCTTTCTCTTTCCTGTCTCTCTTGGATTTCCTACCTGCCTCTAAGCTGCCTTGCCATAGGTCAAATCAGCTTATTTATTAACCAATGGGAACAGCATATATTCACAGCCAGAAAGACATCCCCCAGCAGTTGCTTCTTTATAGACTACACCTGGTGGAAGGCCCCAAAGAGCAGGAGGCCTTATCAAAGTAAAAAGGGCAAGTGAACCACCCTGCCAACCTGATGGGCATGTAGCCCAGCACTGATCCAGTTCACTGAGGCTGGTAAAAAGGCCTTGAGTTAGACATCAGGGAAAACCTGGGGTCTAAGGATGTATGACAAAGAGAAAACAGTATGAGAGGATTTAGGGGCATTGTTTACCCTACAACTAGACATCCAGCCCCTACCACCACGAAAGTCCCTGGGTCCTAGTAAGGTGATAGTCCCCATTAGACACTGACCGGACCTTACCCTGGGACCTAGGACAACCAGACCCTGGCCATTGACAGAATCACCCTCACCAGAAAGGCTGCCCCAACAGACCTACCCCCCAATCCAGGACCATTACATCTTTTAAAAGCTAAAACCTGTTGGCTTTTCCTGGATACAAAAACCCCCTCTTAGAAAGAGATTGCAATAATGGGAGATTATACTGACTTCTGGGCCACCCAGTCATGTAGATGGCAACAATCAGGCAAATGGAGGCTCATCTTGCAGTCTGTGACAGGGAATGGTCTCTGCATAGGCCGGCCCCCACCAAATTATGCCTCTCTCTGCATATGAGAGACTCAGAGTCCAACAGGGACAGGGAAATAACACTCAGGATTTCTGTGTCCTTGGTGCAATCAGTCCCCAGGATCACCTATTACCCCGAAGAGGAGATTTTCTATTGGCTAGAACCACCAGAACAGGCCAAATGGGAGGTTTTCACGGCTGTCTTAGTATCCTTCCTCCTAGGCCTTGGCCTGGCCGGGGCTATAGGTACTGGAACATCAGTTCTTGTTCTCCAGGACCAGAACTATAGAGCCTTAAGAGTGGCTATAGATGTTGACACAGCCACTCTAGAAAAAAATCTATCACCCACCTAGAGGAGTCCCTCTCCTTCTTGGCAGAGGCAGTACTCCAGAATAGTTTCACTTTAAGATGACAAGCGTATCAGCCAAGGATGAGAGGAAATGATGTTAAATGAAGATGGGACTTGGGGGCCTGGTGAAGCCTTCTCTCAGAGCCCTGGGGAAAGAGCGGTCAGCAGGTATGGAAAACAAAACATTGAGGGGAGTCATTTGACCTTTTAGACACACAGTGGGGCAGTGAAGCCTCCATCAGTCGTTCACCTGCTATTCAAAACAGAGCCAAGATCTCGAGGAACAGACAACAGAGGGTCTGGGCATGCCTGGGTCGCACGGATTTGGGTGTTTAGAAGGGGGAACCTTTGTCCTCAGCTCCCTGTTTCCCGCGACTCCGCTTCTGCAGCTACACTAGCTCACGGGCCGCCTCCTTCCCCTTCCCCGGGGGCTCATCCGGTTGAGTTCCGGAGTTTGGGACTCCGAATTATCCCCAAACCACGGCGAGCGAACTCCCCCGCAACTGAGGCCAGTTTCTCCAACCCTCACCGCGCCCGTCACAACCCACGGCTCCCTTCGGGGGCGGAGGAGGGCACGGGCTCCCGGGGCACGGGTTCCGGAGCAGGCGGGGCCGCGTAGCCACGGGCGCGTGCTCCGGAGCGCGTCCCGCCGAGCTCGCGCCCTGCGCTCCACCACCTAGCTCCGGTCGCCGCGGCCCGCCGCGCGCCGCCGCCTTCCCTCCACCTCCCCGCCGAGCGGCCTCCAGCCTCCCGCGCCGTTGGAGTGACCTCGGCGAGGCCAGGCGCTCCGTCCGACCGCGGGAAACCGGGGGAGAGCAGCCGGGCGGCTTTGCGGAGGCGGCCGGACGTCCCCCGGGGAAGGCGGAGTGGCAGTCACCTGAGAAAGCCTGACAGCTAGCTGTGTCCCGGTCCTGCCGGGGCTCCGCACCCACACTGGTGGTCCAGGCCCGGGAGTCGGCGTCAACACCAGTGAGGACAGACCCGATCAAGCGAGTGGACATGGCCACCCCGTTCCTACCCGCGGGGGCCACTACGGGCGACAGTGGTGGGGAGCTGAGCTCCGGGGACGACTCCGGTGATATGGAATCCCCCAAGACCCCGGAGTCCGAGGCGTCCGGGAGCCTGGCTGAGCAGTTTGAGAAGGCTGCCGCACACGTCCAAGGCCTGGTTCAGATGGCCAGCAGGGAGCAGCTCTTGTACCTGTATGCCAGGTACAAGCAGGTAAAAGATGGATGGATGAGAGAGGGCACGGGCGTCTTCCTCCAAAAACTTACAGAGGTGTGCGGGGCTCATGGTTGAGTGTAATGAAGTGTGTGTGTGTGTGTGTGTGTGTGTGTGTGTGTGTGTGTGTGTGTGTGTGTGGTGTGTGTTTTGACGCTGGAGAATAGCATCATTCCGGACATGGAAAATCTCTCAGCTATTCTATGAATGATATTTATTTAGCTGGACACTGACAATATTTCTGTTCTCTCATTAGTGACCTTGCATCTGAACCTTTACGAAACGAAGATGATAAAATAAAATTTGTCATTTGTTGCTACAGGGACATGTGATAGAAAATAGGGTAATGTTAACAATAAATTTGAGATTTAAGAGAATATTACTATATATAAAACATGCAATACACTCTTACTGTTGCGATTTTTAGAAACGCTAAATGTAGTTGACAGTTTGTGGGAGTGCTATAAAAATACTATTTTCTAACAGTATATCTATGTGAAACTGAAACTGCTTCATGGGCTTCATCCAAACCAACATATAGTGAGAGATTGGATGCAGAAGTATGACAGTACAGGTATCCCGACAGTAAAGAGATTTTTAAAAATGGCAGAGCCATTTTTTTCTGTTTTGTTTTGTTTTTTTTTAGTGTAGAATGTGGTATTTTTTCCATACAATTTTACTTATATTACCATGTATTAGATTTATTTTCAAATAAATTAATAAACATTTTAAAGATTTATTATTTTTTTCTCGTGTCTGTGTATTCACACGTGTAGGGGCGTGTGTGTGTGTGTGTGTGTGTGTGTGTGTGTGTGTGTGTAGAGGCTGGAGGTTGATGATGAGTTGATATCTTCCTCTACTGCTCTCTGCCATATTCATTGAGGCAGGATATCTCGCTGAACTCATTTGCTGATGTAGCTAGTCTGGGTGCTGGGTGGTCAGTCGGTCTGGCATCTCTAAATCGTATCAACTGCTGGACTCTTCTACAGATACAAAAGGGGACAGACTATACCAACTATAGTGCACAAGGCCAGGCAGCTTCTGCCTACTCCTAGGACTGGATGTCCATGAAAATTATAATAAACTATCTTGCTTAAAAAACAAAGGAGGGGGGCCAGGCTGTGGAGGCTCATGCTTTTAATCCCGGCACTTGGGAGGCAGAGGCCGGTGGATCTCCGGATTCAAGGCCAACCTGGTCTACATAGTGAGTTCCAGGACAGCCATGTCTACATAGAGAACTCTGTTTTTTGGGGAAAAAAACAAAACAGAGGTAAGGGTGCTGGAGAGCTAGCCCGCAGTTAAGAGCATTTGCCTCAGAGATCCCTGTCTCCTAGAATTAGAAATGAGTTGCTATGCCTACTTGGCATTTGATTTGGTTCTGGGCATCTGAACTCTGTCCTTACACTTCCAGGGCAAATGCTTTAACCACTAAGCAATTACCTCCCACATACACCGGCAGTCCAAGATCTAATTTCTTATCTTTTTTTTTTTTTTTTTTTTGAGACAGGTTTTTCGAGACAGGATTTCTTTGTGTAGCCCTGGCTGTCATGGAACTTACTCTGTAGGCCAGACTGGCCTCAAACTCAGAGATCCACCTGCCTCTGCCTCCTGAGTGCTGGGATTAAAGGTATAGTATACCACCTAGCCAAGATCTAATTTCTAATCTATATATATGACAGATAAAAGTTCTTTGGAGACTTTAATTCTAAGAATCAAAAGAAATCACAGGGATCACGTGACCACAAAGTTTGAGAACTCCTGTTTCAAGTTCTGCTTTCATGGCCAGAGAAGCTCACAAACACAGTATGCAAGTTCTAGCTCAGGCAAAGGAAGAGGAGGATGAATCTCTTTTGTTTTTTGACTGTTTAATTTTGATTGTATGTGCGTGTATGTGTGTGGGCACTTGCAAGCCACAGTGTGTATGGAGGTCAGGACAATTTTCAGGTCAGTTTTCTTCCTCCACCATGGGTTCCAGAGATTGAATTCAGGATGTTGAGCCTTCCTGGCAAGTGCTTTTACACAGTGAACCATCTTCCTGGTTGCCTTAACCTCCCTCACCTCTGTAAACATTTCTATATGAGTGGGCATGCCTGGTGCCTGCCAAGGCTGGAAGAGGTCATCAGATCTACTGGAACTGGAGTAACAGACGGGTGAAAGCTGCCATGTGGGTCCTGGGGACTGAACCCAGATCTTTTGCAAGAGTGGCAGGTACTCTTAACCACTGGGCTAGTTCTCCAGCACCTCCGCCCCTTTGTTTTAAAGCAAAATATTTTATTATAATTTTCATATACATCCAGTACAGGAGCTAGGCAGAAGTTGCATGGCCTTGTGTTTGTATAGTCTATCTGTCCCCTTTGTAAAACTAAAGCCCAGATTCTCTGTTAACATGTAACATAGATGATACAAACAGGCCTGGTATAAATCCTGACAGCTAATCAGGGTTTGCCAGTGTGTGAGGTGAGACCACTCTCTTGAGTCTCTGTATGCTCAGGGATAGGCTGGGTTTGCAATGGCCTGCCTTACAGGATTGGAGATTATTCAGGAAACACTTCTTCTCAGTTGAATTGTAGTAGGGCTGCTCCTGTAGAAGTATGCTTTTTAGTAATAGCCAGAGGACTATGTGATCAATTGCTAAGGAAGTGATTGGGGTGATAATTTTTTCTTTTTAAGATTAATTTTTATTTATGTGTGTGGGTGCCCTTGGAGGACAGAAAAGAGCATCAGATTTTCTGGAGCTGGTGGTATTCAGAGGCGGTTGTGAGCTGCCTGATATGGGTGCTGGGAACTGAGCTCAGGTTCTTCAGAAGAGCAGCAAGCTTCTCTTAGCTGCTGAGCCATCTCTCCAACCCCATGAGTTGATAATATTTATGAACTCATAGATAGATGAAATGGTTGTAAGCTGAAAGGTTTTTTTAGAACTTGGAGCAAGACTGGAATTACGTGTGGCAGTTTGAAAAGCTGAGAGAAAAGAAGATATTTCAGGTGATGGAATAGTAGGAACAAAACTCAGAAGTAAAAATCTGCAAGGCCACAGTGAGTAGACCACTGAGCTTGGGGGAAGGGTGCAGTTTGGTCTTAGGAAAATTTGAATATAGTAAGAGGGAGACGTGGGAAGGTCTCTCAGAAGCAAACAAGTGCTTTGGGTTTTGAGTTTAGAACAGTGTTCTAGAAGCTTTGTTCTAGTGAACAACACTTGACCCAGAACATTCTAATGCAATGCAGAAACGGTGCAAATGTCGTAAGAGATGTGTGGAGTGAGTGTGTCAAGGGTTCACAATAGAGATTATTTCTGGTGGCAATCAAGAGCTGAATTCTGTCCCTGTATGAATTTCATTGTTGCATAGTTAGAATGAAAACAATGTATAATTTAGCTACAAATGTCATTTGAACCTTAAAACTATAAAGCCAGGTGTAGTGGTGTACGCCTGTAACCCCAGCCTTGAGAGGTAGAAGTAGGGGTTTAAGAGTTAAGACAGCCTGAGCTACATGAGACCCTGGATCAAAACAGCAACGAAAGTATCGACCACATAGATAACATATTATTGTTGAGACTCTGAGCCCCACTGCCCAGCTTTTGACACCTAAATTTATTTAGTGTGGTGCTTTTATTTTTATGTATTTATTTAGGGTTTTTTTTTTTTTTGTGGTGATAAATTGTGTACCCTAATAAACTTGCCTGAGGATCAGAGGACAGAGCCAGCCCCTAGATTAGACATAGAGGTCAGGCAGTGGTGGCACACACCTTTAATCCCAGGAAGTAAAATGGCAGGGCAGAGAAAGGTATATAAGGCGTGAGGAAACAGGAACTCACTCTCTTTAGGTCGAGGATTTTGTAGAGGTAAGAACTAGTGCCTGGCTATTGGGCTTCTCTGATCCTCAGACAAGTTTATTAGGGTACACAGTATATCACCACATTGATTTTATTTATTTATTTATTTTTTGAGACAGGGCTTCACTGTGTAGTCCTGGCTGTCCTGGAACTCACTTTGTAGACTAGGCTGGCCTCGAACTCAGAGATATGCCTGCCTCTGTCCCCTGAGTGCTGGGATTAAAGGCGTGAACCACCACCGACCAGCATAAAATTCTATTTTAATGGCAGTAACGATTATAATTTTACTTGTAACTTGTTTTATAATTAGTCTGCTAGTTTAGAAATGCAGCTGTTTGCCACCCATTTTTACCCCCATGTTACAGTATTACTTAGCCGTTATTTTATATAGAAAGCTGAGGCTGCTTATTTGGTGTTGTCATTTAATTAATTAGTTAATTTAGACAGAATCTCACTGTGTAGTCCTGCCTGACATGGAGTACATTGTGTAGACTAGGAGGGCCCTGAACTCCTAGAAAGCTTCGAATGCACAGAGACCCACCTGCCCTGTTAAAGGTGCACATCACCACACCTAGAGTTTCTGGTGTTTTCAAATTGGATTATTTGAATTTTTTGTCTGCTTTGCAAAGAATGTTAAATTTTGTTATCCTATATATATTCAAATATTTTCTAATCTGTAATTACTAAATATACTAAATTTGAAAAGAAAAAGTCCTTAGATGTCCCTTAGAAAAATAAATTCTTGATATTTTCCCCTTTCCTCTTTTAGGTCAAAGTTGGAAATTGCAATATTCCTAAACCAAACTTCTTTGATTTTGAAGGAAAGCAAAAATGGTAAGAAACCTTGTTGGGATCTCTAGTAAGGTTGTCAGAAATGACTCAGGGACTTAGGGATTAGAGAGGGGTTAGCAGATTAAAGAATTATTTTTATATTAATCTCACTGATGTTGGCTGCTAACGACAGGCCATGGGAGCGGGATTAAAGGAATCTGCTTTTAGCTAAGTCTAGCGGGTTTGCTGGTGCTGATGTTAGTGTACAGGTAGTCAAGGCAGAGGAACACTCCTGGGAGGGATCCAGTTATCTTATTACTCAAGGTTGTTTCTTGTAGATAGCCTCCAGGGGACTACTGCTTCTCACACACAGAAGGAAGGGAAAAGAACAAGATAAATCCCCATCTCCTACTTGTCTCCGCCTCTGCCCCACAGAAAAGAAGTGTTTGTCTTAATTTTTTGGAAAGAGTTATGGAGAGAAAAATCTAAAACCCAACACAGGCTCACTCTGCTCTGAGTACATTTTTCACCTATAGTTCAAAGATTCCCTCGTGTTATTTTTTCTTACCTGGCTTAAGTGGAAAAAGAGAAGGTGTTAAACAGTAGTGAACACAGTTACAAAGAGGGAGATTTTTGCACATCAGCTCCATTGGTAAAGTTAGTGTTGAGGGTGGAGTTATTTATTGCTTTGTGATCAGTATGTTAAGGAGATAGTCCTACATTTCAGTAATTGCTGCAGTTTTGTTACCCAGATTTAAGCATGTGAACATGACTTTAAACATGCAGTTAAAGCTGTCCTTCATAATTTGTTATCCTATCAATATCAACCACAGTCCTTTGGAGTCTGAGTCACATGGTTTCAAGTAGGCCTATAGCGTACCCGAGGTACACTTTCCTATATTTATGCTAATTCTTGTATTAAAGGTCTTTTAGGATAGAGTTTTTTTGTTGTTGTTGTTTGTTTTTAAATTTATTTTATTTGCATGTATGTGGTGCCCGTTGAGATCAGAAGAGGGGTTTGTATCCCCTGGAACTGAAGTACAGATGGTTGTGAGCTGCCATGTGGCTGCTGGGAACTGAGTCTCGGTCCTCTGCAAAAGCACCAAGTGCTCTTAGCCACTGAACCATACAGTCCCAGGGTAGAGTTTTTTTTTTTTTTTTTTTTTTTTTAAAAGAAGAATGAAATGTGGTTGTAGAGAGAAAAAATGCTAACCTGTGGATTTGACCATATATCCCAACACTGCCCTGCACAAAACGTGGTCCTCTGGACAGTAGTCCGATACCAACCTTCAGCTGTGAGAAGGGTCGAAGCATGAACCTGGACGTGAATCACTGATGCTGCTGACCATACTCTTGAGTGCAGATGACATTCTGTTTTGTCAGTATGTGGTACACCCTCAGTGCTTTGATTTACATTGTGTTACAAATTCTCCATTTTGGTGATAAGCAGTTTCTGGAATTTTATTATCTAGAGAATGTCAAATGTAGCTTTTGTGTTTTGTGGAATTTTATCACTTAATTATTTTTCCCTTATGCATTGCCCAGTTCTCCATTGTTTTCAGTGATTCTCTGCCCTCCAAAGTTTATATTTTATAGCTACGCTTATTAATTAGTAAAGCAGAAAACTGTCAGGTACTGCCATTACCAACTCGTCAGTATATTAGTATTATATATTAGTTATATACTGACATCACGTTTCCTTACTGTGACCCATTGTAAAGGACATGCAACCTACATATTACTCTCACTAAGATAGTTACTCTAATTTTAGTCCTGATTAATCATTTTGAGAAGCACACTATTTAGATGAGAAAACAATTAGACAAATCCAAACTGAGTGGCATTTTGTAAAATAATTGTTTTTGACTCTTTAAAATGTCAACATGTGGGAGAGAAAGAAATGAAACTCAATGCTGTGCGTGAGTCTTGATTGGCTCTGGTCTGGGAGAACAAAGTCATCCAGGGCATTGTTGTGACAAGCAAGGGAATCTGAATAGACTGTCTCTATGTTATAGAATTGATATGATTCCTGAGTTTGATATAAGCTTATATATTTAGGGGCGAGGTGTTATATGTGTAAGTAACTATCAAGGGAGTCAGTAAAAAATTTAGCCTCAGAAAGATCTTGCTTTCTTCATAGGAGCAGGAAGGTAATAAGGAGAGGAATGGGCTCTCCTTCTAAGATTAGAGGACCGAGAAACCTGGTTAAAAGTGGGAAGACTTGGCTGGGGTAAACCAAGCAGCCTGTCCTGGTAGCCTGACTAGTTAATTCATAGGATGGGAAGTACTGTACTGGTCTATAAATGATACAGTCTCCATAGTGGTGAACACTGGATTTAGGAAGACTAATTAAATCTTAGATTACTGTGATTTGTGATATTTCAAAATTCAATAGGTAGGCAAGATATCTGTGTTCTAAAATTTCACTAGAGAAGGCAATTGGGGGGAAATTTCCAAAAGGCTCTTGAGGTAGGGTAATGAGTTTTATACTTGTCTATCAAAGTAAAAGGATAAATGGAGCACTTCTCCTCTGTACAGTTTGTTACCTTTGTGTCCTAAGATCCTTGGAATATATATGTGTAAAATATTAATAATAAATGCGCTAGCTGGAGGTGATGTGTGAGTTCAAAGTCAGCCTGGGCTGCATGGCGAGATCCTGTTTAACAAATGTACTGCTCACGTTGTCTGCATTATTACTGAAGGTTTTGGCTATTCTGTGCTGCAGGGAAGCGTGGAAGGCCCTTGGTAACTCCAGCCGTAGCCAAGCAATGCAGGAATACATCACAGCAGTTAAAAAGCTAGATCCAGGATGGAATCCTCAGGTAAGACTTAGGAGGTATACATTATACTTTCTGAAAACTCGCCTTTCTCCCAAATGTCTAGCTGAGCTTGGGTTCAGGGAATGTGTCTTAGGCTTCATTTCATCAAAAGACTATAAGGTCATTGTAATATTTATCTGTGACGATGATTACTTAATTATTAATGTAACCAGCAGCTGAGGCAGAGACCTCCTCTGAGTAGTGGAGAGTTTTTAGAAGTATAATTTAATCTTGTAAGAACAGAATTTATGTCAGAATTTGGGATTTATCTGGAGATGATCATTGTCGTGGGAAAAAGAAAATCTCTTTCAATTAAAACAATTGAGATTTATTTGTCTTATTTTATATGTACCTGTGTTTTGCCCTCATGAATGTATGTGCACCACATAAGTGCAATGCCCTTGGAGGCCATAGAGGGTATCAGTTTCCTCAGAAATGATGTTATAGTTGATGGTGAGCCACCATATGGGTGCTGGGAACCAACACGAGCAGGTGCTCTTCACCACTGATCCAACTCTCCAGCTCCTCTTTGATGGTTTTAATGAGCATTTACTATGCAAGTTTGAGATACTTGATAGAAATACAAGAAAAATACGGAATTATTTCTTCCATTATATAGTGTAAAGCATGGTAAGGATGACAAAACACAGTAAAATTTATGTTCAATAATATAAAAGTTTTAGAGAATTGCATGGGAAAAATGATTGCAGATATTAGGTGCATTGGATAATGTTCATATACATGAATCCCACCTTTCTAGGATACTTACGGAAAATGCCTACAAAGAATTTAGTACAGATGGAGTTGTTATTTCATTTATATTTTAAAAGCCATTTAAACATTATATTATATTATTTTTAATGTGCGTGCTTGTGCCCCGTGCATTTGGAAGTAGAAGACAACTTACAAGGGGCTGTGTTTTCTTTTTTTTTTTTTTAAAGATTTATTTATTCATTATGTATACAGTGTTCTGTCTACATGGCCCGAAGAGGGCACCAGATCTCATTACAGATGGTTTTGAACCACCATGTGGTTGCTGGGACTTGAACTCAGAACCTCTGGAAGAACAGCCAGTGCTCCTAACTTCTGAGCCATCTCTCCAGCCCCGGGGTTGTATTTTCTTCCTCTGCCATGTGGCTCTCAAGGAGTGAACTCAGGTAGTCAGGCTTGGCAGCAAGAGCCTTTACCCACTAATCCATCCTGATGGCCCTTGAAATGCATATTCTGAAAGATTTGATTTTAATGTGTATGTGTGAGTACTTGCATGTATGTATGTATGTGCACCATATGCATGTCTGGTGCCCACAGAGTGCAGAGGAGGGTGTTTGACCCCCTGGAGTTAGAGTTACAGGAGGTTGTGAGCTGCCGTGTGGATGCTAGGAACTGAACACAGGGCCTTAGAAGAGCTACAAGTGCTCTTAACTGCTGAGCTGTCTCCAGCCCCATTTAAAATATTAAAAAGAAAAACGGGAACCCTGTCTCAAAAAACCAAAAAAAAAAAAAAAAAGACGGGTGTTGTGCAGTATTATTTTAAGCTGTGTTACATTCATTTATGCTGTGGAATGTTTGTTTAATGATGCAAAGATGTGTTGCGGTCTTTTATGTTGCATTGTTTAACTCTGTAGTTAAATTTCCTGCCATGACTTGATTTAGAATTAGGCATTGTATTCACTTGTCATATTTCTTTAGGCTCTTCTAATCTGCAACCATTTTGGGGGCTTTCTTTTTCTTTCTTACCTGTGGGTTTTGTTTTTGTTGTTTTTGGTTCAGCCTGCTAGTTTGGAGAATGTCTCACATTTTGAATTGCTTGTAATTAGCTTCAGATTACACGTTTTAGGAGGGATAACAGAATTGTGTCCTCAATGCCTTTTACCAGCAAGTACATGATGTCTGTTTGTCCCAGTGTTGGTGGTGTCAGAGAAGTTCCTATTTCTTTATAATTGATGAGTAATTTGTGAGGAACACTTTATACATATCCATCATCCACCCATCTATCTGTTAAGAAGTGTGAAATGTCTGAGGTTTTGCCCTGTGTGCAAACTAAGTTAGCCTGTTTCTGTTTCTTTTCATTTATTTATTTTTTTGGTTTTTCAAGACAGGGTTTCTCTGTGTAGCTTTGGAGCCTGTCCTGGAACTCACTCTGTAGACCAGGCTGCCCTCGAACTCACAGAGATCCGCCTGCCTCTGCCTCCCGAGTACTGGGATTAAAGGCGTGCGCCACCACCGCCTGGCCTGTTTCTGTTTCTTAAATGCTGGCAGAAGGCTTCTAGCTCCTGGGTCAGACCCAAAGACTTTATTATTCATGGCTTGGCAAACTGCATGCGCTTCCTTCAGCTTGCATCAGTTTCCCACATCTCCCGAGCCCATCTCCTGAGCCCACAGGGCTGACCCAGTTAGGGTTAGCTGGATTTCTGCAGATGCAGTGGGTTGTAGTAGAGGGAAAGGAAGAGCATGAGTCATGGGAATTCACAACTGAGAGCAAGCCTGCTGTTTGTCAGAGCCTTGCTGCTCACATATCCTGAGATATGGCCTGCATACAGAGTGCTAAGGGCCTGATCAGTTGAGCAAGAGTGATAGGGATCTTCAGCACCCATGGTTGATTGCCTTTCCCAACATTCATGTGTTTATATTGTATAGACTTATGGATTTGTTTTATTCATGCCATATAATCCATTGAAGTAATTTGTCTACTGAAAGAATCTTCAAACTAGCTCCCGTGTCCTTTTCATATGGCCTAATCCCCGGAGCCGTTTTTTCTTTCTTACTGACACAAGATAGTCCAAGCTCTATTAGTTTCCTAGCGCCGCTGTAACAAAGTGCCACAGCTGCTTAAAACAACAGAAATTTATTTCCTCAGAGTCTGGAGAGAGACGTCTTTTCAGACGAGGAGTTATCGTGTGTAGAGAAGAATCCTTCCTCCTTCATCTTCTGGTGGCTTGCAGACATTCCATGTCCTGTGGTCGCTGTCCTAGTCTGCTCCTCTGTTGCTGTGATAAAAAGTGACCAGAAAGTAACTGAGGGAGAGAAGGTTTGTTTGGCTCATAGGCTCCAGTCAGTCACTGGGGGAAGTCAAGGCAGAGACTCAGGGCAGGACCTGGAGGCAGGACCTGAAGCAGAGACCGTGAAGGAATGGTGCTTGCTGGCTCCCTTCCAGGCTCCTGTTCACCCTCCTTTCTTGTGTAGCCCAGGCCCACCTGCCTAGGGATGGTCCTCCTCACAGTGGGCTGGGCCCCCACATCAATTAGCAATCAAGAAAATACCCTACAGACATGCCCACAAGCCAGTCTGTTGGAGGCAGATCCTCAGCTGAAGTTCCCTATTCCAAAGTGTGTCAAGTTGGCAACCAAGATTAGCCATCATGGTGGCCTAGCTCCAGGTCTGCCTTTGTAGTCACATGGCCAGGTTCCTCTATCTGAATCACCTTCTCCTTTCTTGTATGAGGACATCAGTCCATCCTAATCCAGTGTGACCTCAGTTTACATCCGTGAAGACAATTTTTTATCCCCCTCACCTCCTGCCTCTTTAAAGACAAGATCTCACTATGTAGCAGAGGCTGGCCTCAAACTTGTAGTTATCCTGTACCTCAGCCTCCCAAGTGCTGAGGTTACTGCTTGAGTCCCACCCCACATTCATGCAAAGACATCTTCAAGTAAGATGCCTAAGGTTAGGACTTGGACATGGGGAGTTTTTATTGTTGAAATTTTTATTTTATGTGTATGGGTGTATGTCTGTGTACCACATGTGTGTAGTGTCCATGGAGGTCAGAAGAGGGTATCAGATCTCCTGGAATTGGAGTTATAGATGGTTATAGATGGTTGTTAGCTGCTGTGTGGGTACTGGGAACCGACCTCGGGGCCTCTGGAAGAACAAACAGTGCTCTTAGCCGCTGAGTCATCTCTCCAGCCCCTCACCTCCCTTTAAAAGGTTTGATTTTATAGATGTTCCATTCACGTGCTCCCCATTCCTCATGTGTGTCTGTGACATGTGCCATGATGCTATGTGGAGATCAGAGGGTGAATTGTGGACTTGGTTCTCTCCTCTGTCATGTGTATTCCAAGGATCAAACTCGGGCATCAGGCATAGGCTGTGTCTGCTGAGCCATTTCAACAGCGTCCTGTTTGGAGGACACAGTTCAACCCACGGTGCTGGCTCGTTTGATGCTTTGTCTTAGCCCTGCAATCAGCTGTTCTCCTCCAGGCCTTTTAATAAACACTAGTATTTAGAAGTGAAGGTCTGAATGTTTGGTATACTTATTGCTGCAGGGTTATTGCTTCCAGCTTCCTCAGCAGACAGACCTAAGAAATACACACACTCAAATGTATGTGTGTATTGATACTTCCATGTATACATGTCCATATGTGGGCATTCATCTAGATACAGACATGTATGCGTGTGTTTTTGTAATTGCCACATATGTCTCCTGTATACGTCTGTTGATGTTCTTCCTGAAGTTGGTGCTGACACCTGTAAGTCAGCCCAGTGGTCAGGGCACACACTTCCTACACCTGTAAGTCAGCCCAGTGGTCAGGACACACACTTCCTACACCTGTAAGTCAGCCCAGTGGTCAGGGCACACACTTCCTACACCTGTAAGTCAGCCCAGTGGTTAGGGCACACACTTCCTTCCTGCTTCTCATATTTGTAACCTCTTCCTCCAGCAGAGCAGGCTCCTGGTTCCCACAGTGTATCAACTCATTTGTTCCAGCCTAGAATACAAAGAAAGTAGTTTTGAAATTTTCAAATAATGTGACTAAGAAGAGCAGGTTTGTTGATTGAGGTTTTGTATTCACAGGTATTTTGTTTGAAAGTAGAAACTGTACTGATGTGCATACATCTTAAGTGCTCGGTTGGAAATGAACATGTAAGGTGGTTTTGTAAAAACTTTGGTGAAGTTGGAAAATGATGATATTCTAGTCCCCAGCTGCCAGCTTTCTTGGGAGATTGAGGTTCTTGGTGTGGATGCCCTGGTCCATGGAATAACTGTCTGCCTTTCTTGTAAATAC